ACATGTAGATTTGAGTTTGATAAAAAATGTAGTATTTGTAAAAAATAAAAAAAAAGGGGGGGGGGGGGGGGGGGACAAAACAGTATGACTTACACAGCTTGTAATAACTTGGAATAAAAGACACTGAATGACACTGGATGCAGTGATTTTAATAAACTTCACTGCTTATCAGTGAAATGTAGAAGAATGTGTCTGGCACAAGGATGGTCCAATAAAAATCACAGCTCATCATAAGAAAAAATAACATTCTCCTTTTGAGAGCTCTGAATGACATGTTCATGTGGGGAGCAATGTCTGTCTGTGGTCTTAAATAATTATTTTGTCTCTATAGTAATCAGGAAATTGAACACCAAGTGGCTGCAGGTACTTGGTGTTCACTTCTCATCATCGCCTAGGATAAAGTGTCTGACCGTGCCCTGCACTCTTACATATGCACATTTATAGTACTGTAATATTAAAATCAACATTTTAAATGTTGGCTGTAAATCATAACACGACTGCAACATGTGCCATGAAATCGACGAGCTTCGGGGCCTGCTCGAGTTTCCACATGTCTAGCTATAGGCCTGAGCACACATGGTAGCATCCTCATTTGTTCACCTAAAAATAGTTCCAGACTACTAGACACATTTTTTCGAAACCCATGCATCTTGGTACCTGATACTGAGACTCAAACGTCTCTAAATGGTGTTGCTCAAGGATATATAAGAGAGGGGGGAAAGAGACTTTTGGCATTCACTCGAGTCCGCCTTGGTTTTCACTCGCCTCAACGCAGAGCAAAGGTGAGTGGGACGTGCACCTTCTAAAAGCTACCCCGACTTCTGCAGATCACACTGCGGGTTTGAAACGGATTCAGAGGAGGGGGATCTTTGTGGACTACCAGCTGTAGGGAGAAATGGAACCAATCTAGGCAGCAAACGCATGGACCTCAGGACATTTCAGTTAACACTAAAGTTGACCAAATCGGGCCTTTTCATTTCAGAGGATCAACGTTTTTTGGAAGAATGCTGGTTGGCTAGAGCTAGACTGACTCATGCTTTTGCAGCAGTGAATGTTTTCAGCTGCCATCTTTTAAAAATGTTTGATAGATATTCATGCCTGTGTGCATCTGGTCTCCTGGTGAGAGCATCGTTTCTTAAGTGCGGTCACAGTTAAACGCTTTGGGATGAATAGTCTGTAGGCTCCTGTGGGGAAACATCCTCACAGGAGCTAGCTAAACAGGGAAGCTGTTTAGCTATCAGCAAACATAGATGCTTATGATGTTTCAAAGGTTTGTAAAATGACAACAAAAAAGGAAGCAACTTTTATGTGAAGCTATGAGGGGAAAGGAATAACTTTTCATCAGCGATTTTATAACCTAAAATCTATGCTTTTGTTAGACATAAAAAGTCTCAGGGCATGCTGTCATAGTCATTTTGGTTGATGCTTTTTATTTTCTTTCCACTGTAACAACATAAGAACTTGTTAGTATTTCAGATGCTCATCCTAACCTTGAGATTTGTCTCCTTTTCCTCCCAAGAATAAAAAATGGCCTTCGCTGGTCTCAACGATGCTGATGTCAAGGCTGCCCTGGACGGCTGCGCAGGTGAGACTTTTCCTTTATTTTCACACAGCACTGCATCGTTTAAACTTACCAAAGTAGCTAAGAGCAGAGAGGCAGACGTTTACCAAACTCTCAGTTTCACGAACGTGCCTCAGAAACTGCCAGCTACAGCTACCCTGAGACATCCACACCTTGTTGCTGACGTATCCGGCACTAATGGAGACGAAATGTGCATTTTCAGCTGCTGACTCCTTCAACTACAAGAATTTCTTCAAGGCATGCGGCCTGGCCAGCAAGTCCGCCGATGATGTCAAGAAGGCCTTCGCCACCATTGACCAGGACAACAGTGGCTTCATTGAGGAGGAGGAGCTGAAGTAAGACATTACTTCAACACTTAGTGCCGCTAAATTCAAAGCTTATTGGCTTTAAATGTGGATAAAATGTGACATTACTATCTAGTCTTGCATAGCCATCCTTCTGTTTGAGGGCTGGGCTTGATCACATTTCAGTCGATTTGAATATTTTTTGACCTGCTTAGTCATGCATTACATTTTTCCTAACTACCTAAAAGACCAAAAAAGATTTGAATGATTAGTTAAGGCTTACCTGCGTAGGTTTAATTCTTACTCTTTTGCCCGCTCGTCAGGCTGTTCCTGCAGAACTTCTCTGCCAGTGCCAGGGCACTCACCGACAAGGAGACTAAGACTTTCCTTGCCGCTGGTGACAGTGATGGTGATGGCAAGATCGGAGTTGATGGTAAGAGTTCTTTGCATAAACTTAAAAGAATTGAAGTGCAATTTAAAAATGTATATATATATACATATCAGTGTGCCAAAGTACAAAACCGTCTATCTGAAAATTAGCAGTTGTATTCCCAATGACCTTGATTGGACTTTTTTCTTCATCAGATTAATTCTTTGTCACAAGAAGTGTTTTCCTGCATGCAGACTGAATAAAAGCAGCTTTACTGGTTCCCATCATCTAAAGTGAAATCTACCAATGAGAGAATCCTGCAGACAGAAGGTTTTGCACTTTGGCCATTGAACTGTATCAATCGTAACTCTTGGTCAGAATCGGCTCAATGAGTCTTACGCCAATACATTTTTGCAAAGATTTTCTACTTTCTGCAACTAACAGCAGTTTCATTCTACTTTTGCAGAGTTTGCTGCCCTCGTAAAGGCATAAATTTCCACTGACCAAGATCCACTTCTTTTCATGGAACCGCAAACTCCTCAAAGATTCATTAATCACCAGCTGAAAGAATATTTTTTATACCTTATTTATGAGTTGCCTGCGAACTGTTTCTCAACATGGAAGACATATTTTGCTGTTAATGTTACTCAAACTGTGTTATGTGTTCAGAAATGATGACTTGTGCAAACTGTACAACACCATCTGCACTTTTGAGGAAGAGTGAAAAACCAGGAATAAATACTCTTTTGGTGTGAAGTCATCTTGTTCAGGTCAGTCTTTGGCTGAGTGTGCTGCATTTCCTAACAGAAATCATTTCAACACAATGGGGCTAAGGAAGAGCCAGTGTCAAGTGAGTCCTCATATGCCAGAGCTTTTGAATACTCAAGAGCCGCTAAGCAATGGGTTAGATGACTTGCCCGGCACTTGTTCTCATAATTGGTTAATGGGAAGGGGAGCGTGGCTGGACACTGGCCAGGGCTTGGGAAATGTGCTGGGAATTGCCCCAGGGCCTTGCTCACATGCTTCTTTAGACCCAGGGAGCTCTGCAATAGATAGCTGCCAAACTTTGGGTAATTAGATGACCTAGTCCAAGATCTATTTATTCTACAAGTGCTGCATAATCAGTTAAATGATGTGCTGTGGCAACAGGATGGCTATTAACAGTCCCTGTCTCAGCAGCAGGACTGCTTTCTGGCTCAAACCCACTGCAAATAGCTACACTGGTTTAAGGACTTTTTAGCCAATTACCCACTTTATTTATTCACTTTCTTTGCAGTAAACATCTTTTTTAGGAGGGTAAAACAGTCTAAAGCAGTGCATTCGCTTAAAAAAGATATTCAAACCATTTATTTTTCCCTCTGAAGCCAGATTGCAATTGCAGTGGGCATTGCAAGTGAGCAACATGTAAACCCTCATCCCTATCAGATAACAACCTCACCTAGTTACAGTCAGGCAGTGGTCAAAACAGAGAGAGGCTCAAGGGCTGCAGCTTACCCCACAGCATTATGCTGCCACCTATTGGTCATAGATCTTCAGTTTTATCCTCTACAGAGTTATTTAATTATTCTGTCTGAAAACAAAGACAAAGGCCCCATAAGCATTTAGTAACATTGAGCAATGTTTCCAGAATTGATTTGCCCTCTAACACAAAAATAGACATTTCCTCCAATGCTCTGTGAAGATGAAATGGTCAAAACAGGGCTGACTGAGATTTTTTTTTCTAAACATCTTCCATTTCCTTTAAAACCTAAAAATGATATTTTTTAATATAAAAAAAAACACAAAATATTTCTTCAAAGGTTGGACTTATATACCCATTGCTGACATGTAACAAGAAAACCAGATTCCTCACAAAGTGAATTTATTTCACATTCCACACAGTACACAAATAACACCTCAAATACACAAAACTATGCTCTGCTCAAGAGCAATAGATTCACTAAAAGGAGAGGTTAAATCATACCTTTAAACTGGTTAGTGTTAAAAGTAGCAGAAACAACCAGTTTGTCCAACTTACTCCAGCTACATGCATGCTGAGTATCCTCATGAATATGGTTACGGGTTGGCAGCAGCCCTTCCAATTCGCCCACCTCAGCAGCACGGAGGCCTATTCTTAGCAGCCAGGGACATTAAAGACTTCTTCAAACGCACCTTTTAAGCGTCTTCATTTTTGAAACTTAAAATAGACCGCTCTGTAGCTGCAGTACGAGCCCCCCACCCACCCCCGCCCCATCCCTTCCTTCGTTTTCCTCCTCCTCCATCTCCTCCTCCTCAGCACGGTGTCAGTTATCTTATGCTTCAGATTTCCACAGCGTGACAGTATATAAAAGGTCATTGGGAGCACCGGGATGGTCACTGCAGTCGACTCCAGTCTTGTCTGTGTCATCTGTACCCTACAAAGCAAAAGGCACAACCGAGGTGAGTCTGAAGGAAGAGAGGAAAGGGAAGAGAAAATGCGGGACCCGCATCCAGCCTTGCATCCTTGAAAAGCCTTTTTGCTCTTTATTTCTTTTGACATTGGGTTTGCTCAGGACCTCACTGCATTGCAGCACCTAAAGAAACACACTGAATGCCTACATTTGGGACCGTCAGCGTTTAAAAAAAACAAAAAAAAAACAGAGCCTTGGATTATTGGTCAGACCTCAGCATCTCGCAGTAGTTGCAGGTGTCAATCTCAGCTTCACGGAAGGAGTGAAGCAATGCAAACCCTGCACTTCAGAGAGAATTGGACTCAAGTATTTGAAATCGGAACCCTTTCTCATTCTGTTTGTTCTACTCGGAAAGTCAAAAGACAGCTATTTTATCAGCATTGTTTGTTTGCAAGACATGGTGTGAATTGTTTTTGGAGTGATCAAAATTCTGTTTCTTTAGCTTTGTGATTGTGGTTTGTTTTTTTGCAATGCAGTGAGCTATGATCAAGTCCTTAATACAAATAGGCTGTTTCTTTAGGGACAACTGCTTTTACAAGAGTTTAAATTAATCAGTGTTCTATCTCTGCAGATCAAAATGGCTTTCGCAGGTGTACTGAATGATGCTGACATTACTAAAGCCCTGGATGAGTGCAAAGGTGATTCTTCTATACTTTTTCTTACTCTTGCTTTGTGTTTTGTTGTATCCTTATTCTTATTGATAGCCACTGTCTTTGCCTCTGGTCTCAGTAGCATAATACACTCTGCTGATTTCAGGCGCGGACTCATTCGACTACAAGAAATTCTTCAAGACTTGCGGTCTGGCCGGAAAGAGCGCCGACGATGTCAAGAAGGCCTTCGCCATCATTGACCAGGACAAGAGTGGCTTCATTGAGGAGGAAGAGCTGAAGTAAGATGCATGGCTGGACAAAATGGGCTTCATACTTTAGATAGCAATTACTATAGTGACCAACAGAGTTAACTGATACAAGATACTGCAGGAATGCAAGAAGGAATGGATTTCTACATTCACATGGGAGACCTTTAAGGGTAGGGGTGCTCATCTTATGATGTTAAATTAAGATTAAATGCTATTCAGCAGTAGCAGTAGGAGGGTAGACAGAGGCGGTTATGACTATCCTTTAAATTTTAGTGGAGCCGCATCCAGAAAGTCTTACTTAGAGAGAATTTTTTGGGATTGCAGCCTACTCACGCCTTTATTTGCAGTTGTAATCCAACATCAGCATGCATTACATTTCTTTATGTATTCCCTTGTGCCATCTCAAGTTTAGCAGTGGCCCCCATCTGGGAGATCCTTTTAAATCTTTCTCGAGGCGACACCTGCCCCACCAAGCAAAATCTTGTCAAGAGAAGGAACTTTACCTGAACAAAGGGGTTGTAAAGTGAGATATCGTGTATGGAAAGATGGTTTCTTTTGGTGTCTAAATATGTTTGGAGAGTTTTGGGGGTTGATCAGATGGGCCAAACTCGTCTGACATTCAACGTCTTTGAGACCTGAGATAAGGACTGAGCGACCATGAATAGTTTTAAATAAAAATGTCCATGACTATGCTTGCTTAACCCACCTTAGCATTGTGATTCCAGCACAGCTGCCTTATTTGGTCTATTTGTGATGTGTTTTGATCAATAATGTTAGCTGAGCACCTCTTGTGTCTGTGGCAGGCTGTTTCTGCAGAACTTCAGCGGAGGTGCCCGTGCACTGACCGACGGTGAGACCAAGGTTTTCCTCAAAGCCGGTGACAGCGACGGAGATGGCAAGATTGGCGCTGATGGTACGTGCCGAGACACTCGTTGGACAGTCCCTTGCTTAAACAAATGGCCAACTTTGCATGATTTTCTGTCTCTGTCTACCCTGCAGAGTTCGCTGCTTTGGTAAAGGCATAAAGATGGCAACATGACCAACAACACATGCTCTGATGGAACAACAATGCCCACATCGACCTCCCCCCTTTTCATCTGAATATAAATAATTTTTATACATTTGCTTAAGGGACATTTCCTCCTCTATGCAACACACTGTCCAAAAGGTGATGATTGTGAATGTCGCTCGGTTGTGTTCATGTCTTAAATATGAATTTTGCTAACTGTAAAATCTATAATGCACTTTCCAGGAACTAAAAGTAAAAGAAAATAAAATATTCTTTTACTACGGTCTTACTTCTTTGTTTTTGTGTCATTTCGTCCACATAGCCCCTCTTGGGTTGGAGAAGTAGCAATAGAAAAGGAAACTATGTCAAATACATGATGATATGAGCCCTGGCTCAGAGGGTCAGGAACGTTTTTCATGGATTCTATGCAAAAAAAAAAAAAAGTGCAAAAAAAGCTGCGAAAAAAAAAGATTGATAATCTCCAGAGAACTACTAGTCAAAAATTATTTAGATCCACTTTGCAAGGGCTAAACACCTATGTATGGCAGAGAAACACCTGCTGCATTGTTCAAGACCTTAATCTTGGATGCACACTCAAAAATATTATTCTGCCATTTCACTTGTATTATATGTTTCCAAATCTAGTGCCCTACCTACCCCATTATCCTGTGGTTTAGTTCCTGGCCCTAAAATTTTAATTATCATAAGAAATTAGAAAAAAATTATCACCACTTTTATGAGGCATCCAAATAATTGTGACCCCATTTAATGGCATTACTATTAAGCACATGAACTCCAGTACAAACTGAGAGAGGTCTGACAAACACGTAAATCATTTGCTTCTCTTTATAGTTCCGCCCTACAACCACTAGATGGCAGTTTGGAGATTCCACGTTACCCTTCAACCATCTGAAAACATTGGAAAAAATTAATCAGCCACCTTGATGGTTGCATTTGTTGCTCCACTTCTGATTATTTCTTACCTTCTATTTTACTGTTCTTTATTTTGTTCTGTAATTTGGACCAGCGTGTTCGAAATAACTACTTCAAACACTATTTCAAATGTAATATTTGTCATATTTCAATAACGAATATCTATGTTTATATTATACTTTCCAATGCATTTACACCACTTTTTTTTTTCATTTTGTCACATTGCAACTAAAAATGTCACCCCAGTTTGCTGACATTTTATGTCAGCAAAGTTTTATGGCTCTTACAGAGCGATACCTAATTTCAATAATATTTTTAGTTCAAATTTGTGCTCATTTATATTCAGTCTCTCAGTAAAAAAAATTCTGCAATTACAGTAACAAGTATTTTGGTTTATGAATCAAACATCTTTGTGTGCCTACAGACAGAAAATTGTTATTGATTTTTTTTGTAAAGTAGTTAATGCTTACTCAGATTTAAAGAGGAGCATCGATGAATAGCAATTTCATACTTGAGTAAGCCTGAATCTCTTTCCCAGTGTGGCTGCATTTGGTCATCCATCATGTTGCTGCAGTCACCATATTTTACAGACAGTATTTTTTTGTTAGAGTGTTAATTTTCAAACAATTGCAGCAGTTTGCGTTGATACGAAAACGTCAGCTTTTGGTCTCATCTGACCAGAGCATCTACCTACATGATGTATGACAATGTTTTTGGCTCTTTTTTTAAATTGATTTCAACAATACACCAAATTGTATTTGTTCACAGTTTTCTGTGAACACATTTTCCCACCTGATCTCTGGATCTCATCATCCTCCCTGCATATCACATGCTTATTATGAGCCTTTTGGCTGCTCTGATCAACATGGATGGATTTCTACAATTGTGCCCATGTTTTTTCTTTTTTTTCTATTTCTGGATGATGAATTGAAAAGAAGTCTGTGAGATGTTCAAAACCTGGGATTGTCTTTATTACATAAATCTCTTTAAACCCCTCCAGAACTTTATTCCTGATCCGCCTGCTGTGTTCCTTGGTCTTTATTAAAATATTTGTTTACTATTGTTCTAAAATGGGCCAAACACATTTAAACTTTTCAGATTTTTTTTTTTTTTTTTTTTTTTTAAAATTAAAAAATTTCCCCCCCACGTTTTTTTTTTTTTGTGGGGAA